TCTCTGTCACTAGTTTTAAATCACTTGCACATTGCTACTGACAAACCTCAATCTTCAAAACAGTATTCCACAAATCAGTGTGTGAAATCACAGTGACTTTGTACTTCTTTTTCAAGGCTAAAAGATAAGGTTATTTACAGTGGTATTTACAAGTCTTACCAAATCAAATACACAGCTAAGCATGTAAGTAAACATTTTAAATTACTTTAATTAATGCAACCCCTTAGAAAACTGCAGTTCTCCAAATGGCCACTTGAGGCCGACTACAAAACAGAGTGAATTTCCACTGACTCCCATGTTAAAATGCACAACTTTACAGTATAAATAAACAATTAATTTTCTATTCATGACAACTGGGTATATTTTTACTATAACTTGTATGACTGTTCATGGACCAAAATGCCCAGAACCTGGTTAATGACTGAGTAGTCGGCATGGAAGATGCTGACTTCTCTCCAAACATTTGCCATTTACTTTCTGAGTTCCAGTGAAATCTAAAGCAGTCCGATGCAAACTGGAAATGGAGCATATTTTCCTTCAAGGTAAAAGCTTTGGGTTTTTTAAAGGTGTTGGTTTTGGTAATAGCTAGGTGGTTAGTTGGCGAGTGTTCAGGGAGGAGTTGGCATCTCCATGCAAACTACAGGTGACCAGACAATCTGCTAGTGACTAAAGCAATCACACATTTGTAATGTCACTTTTGTTTCACCCACTAACAGCCAGAAACAACTCACCAACTGGCCACACAATACAGATTTTTCCCTAGTAACTTGGTAACCAAACTAGCTAGTCAGTGCTAGTCTTGACTAATAACTGACCAGGTCAACCATCTCATCTAAATTGTATTGAATGGTGAATAAATCCAATCTTGCCACTTGTCACTGTAGGTGACGCTGTTTTTGCAGTATGCTTTGAAATGTCTTAGACACAGTTACAGTTTTACATTAATACAATAAGAATAATGGCTTAATCGTTTAATCCAGGGATTTCTAACTCATTTTACATCGAGTGTAAAGAAGTTTAATTGCACATTTAATCCCTGATATATCTTAATACAAGAAAAAGAAGTTGAGCTTTACATAAAGAAGTTGAGCGTTACATAATAAAGAAATGTTGCTGTTGTCACAATCTGGGAGGCAGATCGTCTGGAGGAGGAGGATTTGGACCCAAACGCAAGCACGGACGACAGCGTAGCTGTGAGAAAGTTTATTAACAATGAATATAAACCAAAGCAGAGCATTGCAGGGAACTACGCTAACAAAAACCTAAACTGGAAACAGCTACAAAATAATAATGAAAGGAACAAAAACCTGCAACGAGAACCCTGAAATATAAAAACCTGAGACGTGGAACATGGAGAAACACTCAACAGAAATACAGGAGTAGACACGCAGACAAACCAGCCAGTAACAGAGGGAAACGCAAGGCTTAAATACACGAGGGACGAGGGAATGAGACACAGAAGGGGAACACAGCTGGGAGGAATAAGACCTAACGAGACAGGGGGAGCGCAGCTAGAAACACTGACATAACCCTTCAAGATAAAACAGGACACAATTCACAAGGACGCAGAATAAGAAACACGGACTTTACACAGAGGGAACACACGGGCAGGGAAGACTAAGCACAGAACTAAACCTAAACTAAACATGAGGGCATAAGAACAACACCTAAGAACTAAACCCCAAAACAGAATAAACTGAAACATAGAATTCTGATAATAATCAACAAGGCACAACAGTCAGAATATAATACAAAATACAAAATTAAACCAAAACATGAGAACTCAAAATACTGGGTCAAAATGACCCAGAACCGTGACAGCTTTAGTAAATAAAAGGAGAAATAGATGTGGAAAAGTACGAAAAAAGATCTGGAAGCTTTTTTACCAAACTGTCGTATATTATAAAGCACAAAGTTCTTGTTATTCACATTGTGGGGTTTTTTTCCTTTTTTAACATTTTTTTTTTTAAACTGTGGACCTATTATGTGGAAAAAAAACCCACAAAAAACTAAATTTATATAGTTATAGTGAAAAAAAATAGAACCTTTCAGTAGTTTAAGTTATATATTTTTGGTAGTCAAAGAATTTGACACATTTATTTGAAGCAATGCCACTAACCCAAAAACAAATGTGTTCATACATTATGTTGTCAGCATAAAAACACTGATTACAGCCACTGTTTAACACTAAATCCAGCACATGAAATTTATCGTAAAAGATTAAAATGTGCGGCACAAAAAGCAAAGTAATACTTTAAAATTAGTAACTATTGGATAGTTAGCTAGGCGTGTTTGAACTAAAACACTTTTTTGAGCACATGAATGAATTCCTTCACATTTAACTTTACTAAATGCGCTGAATCAAAAGTACTACTGCCATAGTCACCACTGTCCAGCAGCTGTCAGACGGTAGTTGGTCTTTAATATATAAATGATATCCATAACTTACATACGTATATTTTTTTTTGCATAATCAATATTCAGTTGTTCAGATAATAAACTAAATGAGGAACACTGTGTGTCTTACGTTTCCTTTAAACACACGTCCTGCTAAGAGAACTTCACCTCTGAGCCAGTGGGAGTTTAATCTCTGTGAAAACACTGAATTCTTAGCCGTATTAAGCAGAGCTCTCAGAAAGGTTAGACTAAATGCAATAAACTGGTATTAGAAGCGTGTGACCCGCTTAGTGCAGGACTCACACAGGAAAATACTCAGCGCTGTTCCAGCCACGAGAAACCAGAATTCTGCACTGTTTTTTATGTTTTCAAGAAATCAAGTTTCTTCTGGCAGCAACCTTTCAGACTTTGTTTAATCTTCAATTGACCTAAAAAGAAAAAGTTTTGAATTTCTGTGTTTTTGCCTTTACCTTGAAATATTTGAAAGAAAAGACAGAAACAAAAGTTTAAAATAGCTGCAAGAAGAAAACAAAGATAATAAACAACTAGAAAGTCCCAAGTTCTTTAACTCAAACACAGATTTTACAGCTGGACAGGTTTCATAGATTTCTAATAAATTCATTGCCAAGGTAAAGCTGCTAAAGATCACTGTGTAGCAATATGTTAGAGACTATCAACAGATAATCATACAGTCTCTGAAGGAGCATCATGTTGCACCTTAGTGGAGCTGAATGTTACTGCTGTAGTGTCTTGTGTTGAGCCTCTACCTCCATCTAGTGGATGACATAACAGAGCACAGTGACTCACTTTAATGGGTCTGGATTCAGTGACACTCATTTAAATATTTCTAAACAACATAATTACTTTTCTTAGCTCCGTGTAATCAGCAATGATCACAAAAATATTAAATATGAAGATGTAAATATTAGGAAAGGTCACACATTTACATTATTTTTCAATGTATTTCTTCAAAAATGCATCTATAAATACACAAATATGTGGCTTGAGGAATTTTGTTACTGTTCGATTGTATTATATGATGATTTTTTTAGCCATTATAGAGATTCACACTTGAAGATTAAACAAAAAGGGGAATATTTAAATTGTTCGTAACCGGGCTAGCTATACTAGTAACCTAGTGAAGTGCAGTTGATTCTCTTTTCCTATATCTTCATTAATCCTCCTTCATGGCTTTCTTTGACCTTATGACATTTTCCATTCAGATTCAGTCCACATTGAGTGGATTATCCAACAGCAGTCTGTGCATTATGAATCCAGGTTGCTGGAGTTAGCAAATAACTTCAGCACTTTGACCTCTTGTAGATAAGTATGCTCACTTCTTGCTCCAAAAACAAAAAAGTGGTTCCGATGTATCTTTTATACAGTCTATGGCTTAAGCATCATACATATTTAACTTCATCTCCACCAGGAAGCCATCCTCTTCATCCAAAGCTATGCTGCTCTGGACCACCTGCAGTATGTTTGTCACCTTCACAAGACCTAAAGAAGCTTCAACTCTTCTTTGAAGCCTTTCCACACGGTTTAGGAGTGTTTATGGGAATTTCTGACTGTTCTTCTAGAAGTGCATTTATGAGGTCAGACATTGATGCTGGACAGAGGACCTGGCTCACAGTCTCCACTGTAACTCAGCCCAAAGGTGTTCAAAGGTGTCAGCTTGAGGTAGAACTCTGTGCAGGCCAGTCAAGTTCTTCCCCACCAAACTCATTCATCTATGTCTTTATGGACCTCGCTTTGTGCATCAATCTGTAGTCATCGTAGAGGAGGAAGGGGCCATCCCCAGACTGTTCCAGAAAGTTAGGAAAATTAAATTGTCTAAAATGAGTTGGAGCTAAGGGGCCGAGCCCAACTCCTGAAAAACAACCCCACAACATAATCACCCCTCCACCAAACTTTACACTTGGCACAATGCAGTCAGACAAGTACGGTCTCCTGGCAACAACCAAACCCAGACTTGTCCATCAGATTGTCAGATGGAGAAGCGTGATTTGTTACTCCAAAGAACACATCTCCATTGCCCTACAGTCCAGTGGCAGCGTGGTTTACTCCACTGCAACCACTTTATCCAACGCTTTGCATTTGGTTTTGGTGATGTAACGCTTGGATCACTTCCACTTTGTTATAATACCACTAACAGTGGACTGTGAGGAAAATTTCACAACAGTACAAAAAACTGAAACTAAAAAACTGAAGTGTAACTATTATTGAGTTAAAAGCCACCAAATGTCAAGACTCCCCCCTCAGGCTTGTGTATCTTCCTGATAGTTTTTTTTATAAGGTTTCAGGCACAATGAAGAAGTGCTAATTAGCTTCAGTTATCTGCTTTCTTTATTTTCCCCATTTTCCCTATTTACTTCCTCCTTTGTTTAATGACAAAGGAAATTACCAACATGTAAGTAATTCGTGTAATTCCAGTAAAACCGATCGAGTGAAAAAAATATATTAAACTGAGAGCGAGCTCTGCTTTAAACGGAAACTTAGAGTCAGCAGCTGCTAATGAAGACGTACCACTCGTTAGAAAATGTTTAACTTTGAAGAAGTTAATTTGAACAAAGTGGGTACTTTAATGATTCTCTGTAGGCAGACAGAAATCAAATTACTTCATTTGTGAATATAAGCTTTCATTTAATTATACAGTAAAAGTATTTTCACCAAAATCATCATGCCCAAGTTTAAGAGTTACCTTTAACCCCACCAACCTTTGTTAGGTTCTCTAACACAGTCCTTCTGATGAAGCATCTGTGTCATCAATCAGTGATGAAACTTGGACTTGATCTCACATTTACCTGCTCTCTTCTGTTTGGGTTGTTTGCCACTTCGATACCGTCAAACTCTCCTCATTCTCACTTTTATCGTTACTACTCTGATCAGGTGACCTTTGTGCCAACTGTCTCTGAGCTGGTCAGTCATTGCAATTCTTTCCTTCGTCCTTTTCGGGAACATCATCTCAACTTTTTCTAAATGTTGGCCTTACTGAAATGCAACTGCAGCAACCAAAAACCTCAACCAAAGAAAGATTATGTGTATTAAATGACAGACACCTCTGGACAACTGTAAAATCTCATTTGTCTCAGTTTTTATTATTCAAGCTAGAAGTGTCAGATACTGAGATATTTAAAATCTGAAAACATTGAATAATTTAAACCTGAAAAATAATCATATTATCATATCTGAAACAATTTCTGAGCTGCTGCACTTACACAGCCCTTCCTAGTTGCTCTCATCAGCTCATCAACTCTCTCCTGGATATACTGAGGACGGAGCGGAGGCTCAGAGGGGGCAGGGTTTTGGCCGTAGTGGCACCCAAATTGTGTAATTCATTGCCGTTTCACATTAGACAGGCCTCAGTTCATATTGCTGATATCTCAAACAGCCCATAAGTTTCTGCATTTGCTCACACATGCAGATGGCCTCACTGCCAACAAAACACCACCTCCATCAGCCTTAGTCAATCAGACAGGTGCAGTTTGGGCTCACTCACCCAGTTCCTGTTACAACCCACCCCAAATCTCCACACTAGAAAACACTACAATATATAATAATGAAGGAGAGCATTTTATTTTTCACATTTTCTATAAATATCTACAAATTATATTGATATTAAAGTCTTTGGTAAACATTTTTTATACTCATTTAGAGTCTAAAAGATTAATACAGCTGCCATAACATCACCTGTTGGTTAGTGGAGTTGTGCTACGAAATCTGAATGTTTTCACATCAACGACTCAGTGCTTTAAAACTGGAAGTCAGGACTGAGGGGTAAATCTACCTGTGAAGCTTCACCTTAATTGGTTAATTACTTGGGATTTCTAAAAGAACATGTCCTAGATTATCATCCTTTCTGACTCTAAGTTTAAACCAATAACGAGCACAAGAAGTGACCTCACAGAGTGTTTTAGATTTTCACTGCAGTTTTTCCAGTCTGCCCCTGTCCTGCCTCCTGCAGGTGAACCTTCTGATGGGTTCTGAACACGCTGTTGGTTATGAAAGTTTTCCCACAGACGGCGCAGTGATATGGCCGTTCTCCCGCGTGCACCTGCCTGTGCAGCTTCAGGCTGTAGAGCTGCGTGAACTTCCTGCCACAGATGCTGCAGCTGTGCATCTTTTCCTCTGAGTGCGTCATCATGTGCATCTTCAGATTGCTTGGGTTGCTGAATCTCTTGTCGCACTGATCGCAGGCGTACGGCCTTTCCCCCGTATGCACGCTCGTGTGATACTTGAGATTGACCATGCAGCGGAATTTCTTGCCGCACACGTTGCAGACGGGCTTCTCTCCTGGCTTCTTGCCCGTGTGGATCCTCATGTGGTTCTGAAGCGCGCTGGCGTGTCCACAGCGTTTGCCGCAGGTCTCGCAGACGTATGGCCTCTCGCCCGTGTGGGTCAGCATGTGATGCTTCAGGGCGCTCCTGTGACTGCATCCTTTGCCACAGACCTCGCAGGTGAAAAGCTTTTCTCTGGTGTTTTTGCTCGTGTCACTGAAACCGAGGCTGAGCACCTCGCAGTTTTCCTTTTGTGTGTGGGTAACTCGGTGAGCGGCCAAAGATGCAGACGAGAAGAAGGTCATCCCGCACATTTCGCAGACGAAATCTCTGTTTCCTGAATGAAGATTCTCATGATCGTCCAAGCTCTGCCTGCACTCAAAGGTCTCTGGGCAAAGTGAGCAAACAAACGTCTTCTTTAATGCGCAACAAATGTGTCGCTGAAACGCCTGTTTCCCCGTGAACTGCTCCTCGCACAGCGAGCACGTGTGGGTGATCGGTTTGTTTAGGTTGTGCTGACGCATGTGCCTGTGGAAGGTCGATTTGTATGCAAATTCCGTCCCGCACTTGGAGCATTTGTAAAGCTTCTCCCCGGTGTGTTTTCTCGAATGTGCAATGAGCCCGCGGAGTCCGGCAAAGCGCTTGCCGCACTCAGAGCAAAGGTGAGGCTTGGAGTGAGTCAGGCAGTGTCTGTTCATCAAGCACTTCAGAGCAAATGCTTTGCCACACGTAGGACATGTGAATTCCTTGGAGGGCTGCTTCCTTCCGATTTTCACAGCAGTGCATTCATGCTCAGCGTCTTTTTGGACGCCATTTTCCTTAATGACACTGGAGGCTGGTTCAGGATCTGCTACTTCAGGTTCAGAGAGGACTTCAGAACTATTTTCCTCATGTGATGCTGGATCAGCTGAAACAAAAACAACACTAGAACTAACAAGAGAGTAACACCAACCTATCCATTTGAAAGACTTTAATGCCACACTGCAAACATGCTACTTTAGTAATACTGCTGTTATAAAAAGTCAAACTCCTAAACAGAGGATCCCACTGTGTTTAAATGTATAACTTGATTCATTTATCTGGACACTGCAGCTAGTTTTGCTATTGCAGTTGTGTGCTACACATATGTTAGATCGCAGTTACATCATGATTATGTGCTTAAAGTTCTGATAATGCTTGCATTTTTATAACGTAAATATTGGAAAAATAAAGCCATAATTACTGCACAGTCCTGTTTTCAGGGACTCAAATACAAAGCCATAATTCAGTCAGTTGTTTTACAGTCAAGCATGAGCAGTTCTTCATTAAAGCTTCATAAGTAAAGAAGGTAAAAGAAAGCATGAATATCAAAAATCATACGCCAGATTCAGCTGAGTACAGCAAAACTAACTGGTTTGCTATTGCTTCACAAAGCAGATGGAAAATAGCCCAAAACATCGTGAGAACAAGACGCAACCTATTGAAATGTAAAGATGTGAAATATTTTGCAGTGGCTAAGTGGATCAACCTGAGCCCAGTGGCTTTTTCCACTTGCTGAAAACTAAAGAGCAGAAAAAAACACCAACGACTGACACCTGAAGACTGCTTAAGTAAAGGCCTGATAAAGCCTCAAAAAGGAGGAAACTCATTATCTGATGATGTCCGAGGGATCCAGATTTCAGGATTGTCCAAAAAATATTAAAAATGTGCATTTTTAAAATTATTTTATATTCTTTTAATTTTATTTGATCCCTAAAATAGTAAAGAGTGTATAAAAACGGCTGCAGTAACTTGTAAAGAAAACATAGTTACCAGGTTCTGGCACAGATTCTGGGTCAGCTTCTTCTGTTGACTGATCGATGTGTTCCTCCTCTGAAAACACACAAAAAATTCCAAACTGTCTTCAAAATTTAATTTAAAAAAAAAGTGTTTTTTTTTTTTATTGGTTACTGGCTGAATACCTCTACAGTATAAGTGATCACTCATCTGTCTTGTTGCTGGTTGCGATCCTTGCATGTTATTTCTCTTTCTGGACACAGATTCTGTTTTTGCACAAAAAAAGTTAAAAGCCTAGTTTAATATACAAAGAAATCCCAGAGTGAAAACATTGAAAGCCTCATAAACCATCAGCTTATTTACTTTTTCTGCACCCAGTATCGATCTGCCCTGCTCTGGGTTTCTCTGCAGCAGGAGCATCTCTGGCATCACTCAAGGACACCCTGAAAATTAAGGAGATTTTCTCCACAGCAACTTCAGCCCACTTTTTCATCAGGGAAGCAAAATGGTTCTGTACAATCACAGGAAAGACAGAATGATATTGCAAATATATAGTCAGCCAATCACATAACAGTATTGCATTAAAGTTAGGGATTTAGATATGATGAATACGATCTGCTGAAGTTCAAACAGATCAGCAGAATTAGGAAGAAAGGTGATTTAAGCAAAGCTGCAAGGTTGTTGGTGCCACACAGGCTGGTCTGAGTACTTAAGAAAATGCTGATCTACTGGGGTTTTGCACATGACCATCTCTAGGAGGATGGGCAGGATAGGACGGTAACCGTTGCTCAAATAACCACTTTTTACAACTAATGTGTGCAGAAGAGCATCTTTGAGCATGAGTTTACTGTACTCAAATGGCCTCAACAGTCACCACCTCTCAATCCAATCGAGAACCTTTGGAAGGTGGTGGAATGGGAGACATGCGAGTCTCCCATTCCACCACCTTCCAAAGGTTGTGCCATCATGATGTGCCATCATGTTACCACGGACCAAAAACTCTAAGGGATTTTTCCAGCAACATCATGAAGCTATGAGATGAGGAATTAAGATATTTCAACAGGGAAAATGGGTTACAACGCACTATTAGTAAGCTGTAACTAATAAATTGTCCAGGGAGTGAACATGAGCTTGTAGTTTGTTGTAGTTTAACAAAATGTGCGGCAAAGTTTCATTCATTCATCTGCCCAGACAAGCTGAAGAAGCTAACTCATGATTAGCTTCTAAGCTGGGATTTCTGTTGGAGTGGTCGCCATGGAAACAAACGATTGGACTTTTGGGTGACGTAGTGCTCATTTGTGCCACTTATACGGTGTACATTTTAGGACACCGTACACTTAAGCTAAGAAGGGTAAGTGGAACTAGTGGAAAGTAAATTTCCTGTCATCAGTGAGACCGCACACATTTCCCGTGCGCGCGTGACCTTAGGGTTACCGTGACATCCTCGTGAAGGTGTTGCCTGCGTAGCGTCACCTCACTCTCCTCATCCTCGCGCTTCACGGCGACTACGGAAGCCGCATTTGAGCGCTGCTGAGCGGCCACAACCGGAGCCGAGCTCCTCTCCAGAAGTCTCCCGAGCTCTGTCACGGCCGCCTCCACCAGAGTCTCCATCACAGACGACAACTGACTCTCAAATGTTTCCTGCCTGAACATGTCTGACTGTGATTTTGTTTTTAGTACTCATAAAACCAGACATCCTCTGCTGCTGAAGTTCAGCAGCTCATGTTTGTTTCCTCTTTTTACTTCTTCGACTGATTTCCCAGACACAGTAAATGCATTTCGCTGCTGCCCTCTATTGGCCACAAAGCGGTACTACTTCTTTACAGACTAGATTTTTGTGTTAAACTGGTCGAGCCTCTAAATACTAAGAAAAGGTGTTTCATTACCTCGTTTTGCAGATACTGGCTCATGCTTTATAAAACGAACAAAATAACATCATCCCAATCCAAACAGACAAACAGCAAAACTGACAAAACAAGTAGGTCATGTGTCTTTAAATTTCCCAGATTAGACCATAATCCAAAAGTCTAGAAACCTAACACTATGCAGTTGTGCAAAATCTGTTTATAAAGTTATATACAAAAAAAGAAAAACAACCTTAATTTTAAATGTGCTTACACAAGTACAAAGTGAAATTTTACATTTAATAGAATCTGGTCATAAAGGGCATAAACCATAAATGACTTTGCACTGTTTAAGACACCTTCCCCTGATTTAGCTGGGGACTGTTTCCAGAAAAGCCATGAAAATGTACAAGGTGTTTGTTTTTTCACCATTTGACCAAACCTTCCCAGCAGACTAAGTGTGGTACACATTACAAATGTACCTCTGATGGGGAAATATTTTTTTAAATGGCATTTTCCCCTCCAAATCCAGGAAGTATAGACAAGAAATCAGATCTTCAAAAATGGAAAAAAGTAGCCTTAATACTTTAAAACATGCTGTTTTATGGACATTCGTGGCTTCATTTGTTGAGGTACTTCACAGGTCTTCCAACTGCAATTTCCGCTGTCAGGAAGCAATCGGCAGGTCCTCCATCGCTCCATCATGACCTTCCAG